CCCCCGTACCCACCCTGGATTTGCACCCCTGCTCAGAGTCAATTCAAATATTATGCAATATTCTTGGCTCTCCATGGTTGTCGAACCTAGTTTTATCACATATCCATGTGTTGCTTAATCTCTTACCATATTATGTCACCAAAGATTGAAAAGTGATGAACAAAAGAAATGCCCATTAAAAGTTTATAGAAAATATTTATTTATACATATTTACATCCTGAAATGCCACGGTTATGTTTTACTCATACTAAACAAAGGCATTAGCTTAACACGATTACGTGCCGACATGTTTACAATACAACTACGCTAGCGTCGCTCTTAGATATTTATTCTTAGAGCGCTGATCGTTCTATCATAGCAACCTACAACAACTGCAACATGATTGTCATTATCCATGTCTGCTGCGATCACAGAACAAATCCAGTCTGACGTCTGATGCTTCACCTTCAACTGAAACAGCAGAAAAGTGCTGGTAACTCATACAATGACAGAGCAAAGTCAAATATGCATGTGACAATCAAATATGACAATGTAACATATATTGAGAGAAATAAATGACAACTGTACACTGTCAGCATTTTGCATAACTATCTTTGTAACATTAGTGTGGTGTGTATGTATAACAATGAAAAATCTAACTCAACATGTTTAAAAATACTAGGCTGCGTATGTTATATGCTGGGGAAAAACAAGTGATAAACTTCTTACAGATTATCTAAGCTAATACAATTACTCTCGTGGCAGCACATTAAATCACCTACTACCCGCATGGTTAAATACCTCCATTTCAACAGCCACTGCCCGACGCAACGCACCACAAGCACGTCTCGTTGACTGCTCTTACCTTTCCGTCCTGATAGATGGCAAGAGCGTTGTAGTGACCGGCCGCCAGGAGTACGTCGGCGTTTCCCAGCTCTCGCGCGGAGAGTCGGCATAGCTGTGTGACGGGCGACCCCACCGCGCAATACTCCGTCTCACACAGCTGTGAGGGAGGCGTACACACACCACATCAGAGCGTGAAGGCAATAGAGTTCAGCATTAGGATATTAAATTAAATAGCATAACTAATAATACCTAAGCATAGCTAAATAATACACTAAATTAGCATTTAGGTGTTAGCATTATGATTAGGGTGGTTTTTATAACGACAAATCATGCCCATTTGAAAAGCCGAGCCATAAAGACTGTCAATCCTCAAGTTTATCAAAAATCGCTCGTGTTGTTGTGTAAGGCACATGGAAATTTCCATTTCTGGTACGCATAAGATTCGGAGCATCACGACACAGTAACAACACGATCGAGAGAAATGTGCATAACTCTTTTTGTCGGACACCGATCTTGAGAGAAACCATATTTTTCATGATCAGGATTTACTCACACCTACGCATCACACGCGAGAGAAATTTACATAATCGTGACTCACCTGAAATTCCTCCATTATGTAAATCACGCCTGTGTCGGTTGCTAGCGCCACCTGTAGTTTGCTTCCTGCACCGGCGGCGGTGGCGCCCATGTCTGAGTCACCGGCGGCTGACATCTTGAACCTTCCACAGCACATCTGCAACGTGAGGGAGGTAGACGATGACTCATCGCTCCGGAAAAACCACGACCAGGGTCGAAACGAATATATTTACATTTCTGCAGGATAAGTAGATCTGCTGTCAAAAACTTTCAAGTTAATATGGTGTTTTGTTAAGATTGAAGGTAATATGGAAAGATTGAAAAAAATACCAACTAGTTGTTCTGCATTTTGCTTTTACACTGTCTTTCTTTGCTGAAGGCACCACTTAGTGTAAAAATAATATAAATAAGCATGTAAACTTACAGTTACTTTTAATAAGTGGAGGTAGAATGAATAATAAGAATTATCAGGAGCTTACCATAACATATAAGCTATCATTTATCTGTTACGTGTATCTGTTATCAACACATCTTATGAAAAGCTCCTGATGATACTGAGATGAAATGTTACGTACAGCGTTGACTCTGCTTGGTGTTGGAATGCTCATCACCAGCTTTCCCTGCTGTAGCACGTGCACATTACTGTAACTGTCACTCGCTAAGATGTAGTTGATCTGCTTGCCATCAGGTGCCACTGTCTGCACGCACAACAGCGCTGTAACTACTGGTTTGCTTCTCAAGCTCTGAAGTTTGAAAAACACATTATCCAATCAGCATACTCCAATACGATGAGAAAATTCAATGACATACTATACTTGTCATAACCCCGTGATTGGTGAGGGCAATAAAAGGAAAAGAACCAAGATGATAGAAGGTAGATAGATCATGTAGGCCAAAATATCTTAATAATGTTTACGACAAGATCAGATTAAAGTAGATCAACTGCTGAATAACAAACGAGTCTGTGTAATTGCTGACAATAACTACCTCGTAATGCAATTATGCAGATGTAAACACCAATCATAGATAATGACAGATATACGACTATAACATATCTCTCCATATATGAAAGCCTGTATGGTTTATTGTCAGAATTTTAGTCAAGTATGACATCGCTGTGACTGTAATATAGTGGAGGCAATGCTCAACAGTGAAACACATGAATAAATGCACTCATTTAATATTGAAATCCATTTCGAAGGTGCAGAAAATTAATGTTATTGATTATATGGATAATATATGTTATGTAATTTACTAAATATGCTTTTCGGTCATTTTAACTAGCATACCTTCTCAGTCATGATATCAGGTAGACGGATTTTCCACAGTTCTTTGTGCGGATGCGTTGCTAGGAGACAACCGTCTCCATCGCTTGCTACTATAGTGATCTTCCCAGCTGAAAAGTACGACATCTTGCTTCCTAACACATTTGCACAAACGACAACAATTACAGTTTCAATTCCAAGGAATAATCTGAATTTTACATTTCATTATCATCATCAGACTGAATCCTAGCAAGATTAGAAATTATTAGCAGTACCTTTGCATGAGATTTAGCTGATACGGAGTGTTCCTTTACACTGAAGGCCAAGTGAATAAAACTCTTTGTACTTGGTACTCGTTAAGAGGTTCCTTACATTAATTAACCAAATTTATCTTTAACATCATCAATGAAAGTCATGGCCAATATAAGGCCAGTAAAACATGCTCACACGCATCCACTCACATGCAAATTAACAGACACACTTGTACGCACACGCACACACAAGCAAATGCACAGACACACGCACACACACACACACACACACATGTACATTTGTCACCTGCGGCTCACACGTCAGGGTCACGGTCACTCACATGCACACTCACACTCACGTGCGTATATATTTGTCCCCCCTGGCTCACACGTCGGGGTCACGGTTCACTCACATGCACGCGCGAATATATTTGTCACCCCTGGCTCACGCGTCGGGCACACGTGTGTATATTTGTCAACCGCTAGGGAGAGAGGAGGAAAGATAGATGCGAAATGGCTGGACAGGTGGAGGGGGGAGGGAGAGAGGAGGAAAGATATATTTGATATGGCTGGACAGGCGGAGGGGGAGGAAAGGTGTAGGGGGGGGGGACACGTGATAAATCTTCACCATAGTAACGATTCACAGCAACCTAAGTTCCAGATCGGAGACTTCAAATGTGATTATTTATTTATCAAGCATCCTCCACGAGACAATGCACGCATGTGCATGCAATTTTCGTAATTAGGCTGTTTAATTATTAAAATTAATTTAGTAGTCACGTGCTTTCATGTAGCAACGTGGAAGCAGCATGATACGTTATTCTTGCTCTGGCGTAAAGCTAATGAGCAATTCACGCAGCAGGAGACAGTCACTTAATTAATAAAATATTAATTAATATACACTCATGGATGGATTGAAGAATTCTGGAAGAGAAGGGTTGGGATGGAGTAGGTTAGGGTGGCAGGGGTATCCTCAACGATTCTTTTTCTGGAAGGAATAAGGTTGCAATACGATGGAATTTGATTATAAAATCGCTATTTTGACGAAATAAATTAACTGAGATTATGCAAACCTGAAAAATAAATAATGAAACTGAAACTTGAGAAATATATTTGAACAAAGACAAATTTTTGCCGTACAATGGCCAGGCTTCTCTCACAAAAGGATGTTTCGACCCCCATCCACCCACCACCACCCTCAGCACCCCTCTCACACACACCAAACCACCACCCCCACCCCAGCACCCCTTCACAGACCCACTGGATCCGCACCTGAGTCACACACTAATGGTCTTCTCCCTTCTGCAACAATGTGATAATACCCAGGAGGAAGAAAGACAGAGAGGAGGAAGAGAAATCAATCGGTGAGAGCCGCAGTTACAATTATTACTGTTCATTCCAAAAATTCATGCATAATTAGATTTTCATTGATCACTTCGACCCTTTGCATAGATAGTCAGGCAGCTTAGACCCAGATTTGGGGACCTCGACGTGTGAGTGAACGCGTTGACCTCGACGTGTGGAGGTGAACCGGGACCCCGCGTGTGAGGTTGACCGTGACCCGACGTGGTGAGTGATCGTCGACACCGACGGGTGAGTGAACCGTGACCCGAGTGTGATGAACCGTGCGCCGACGTGTGAGCTGAACCGTGACCGACGTATGAGTGAACCGTGACCCCGACGTATGAAGGCTGAACCGACCCGACGTGTGAGTGCAAGCCGTGACCCCGACGTGTGAGTGAACCGTTGACCCCGACGTGCTGAGTGAACCGTGACCCCGACGTGTGCAGTGGACCGTGACCCCGACGTGTGAGTGGACCGTGACCCGACGTATGAGTGAACCGTGACCCCGACGATATGAGTGGAACCGTGACCCCGACGTGTGAGTGAACCGGGGACCTCGACAGTGTGAGTGAACCGTGACCCCGACGTGTGAGTGAACCGTGACCCCGACGTGTGAGTGACCGTGACCCGACGTGTAGAGTGAACCGTGACCCGAGCGTGTGAGTGAACCGTTGCCTCGAGCGTGTGTGAGGTGAACCGGGACCCGACGTCGTGAGCTTGAACCGGGACCCCGCGTGGTGAGTGAACCGGGACCCCGACGTGTGAGTGGAACCGGGACCCCGACAGTGTGAGCCTCGGTTGACAAATTACACACGTGATGCCCGACGCGTGAGCCAGGGGTGACAAATAATTCGCGCGGTGATGTGAGTGAACCGTGACCCGACGTGGAGCAGGGGGCGACAAATATATACGCACGTGAGTGTGAGTGTTGCATGGGGTGGACCGGTGACCCTGACGTGTGAGCCGCATGTGCAAATGTACATGATGTGTGTGTAGTGTGTGTGTCTCGTGCTGTCTTGTGCATTTCGCCTTGTGTGTGCGTGTGCGATACAAGATGTTCTGTAATTTGGCAATGTGAGTGATGCGTGTGAGCATGTTTTTACTGGCCTTATATTGGCATGACTTTCATTGATGATGATTAAGATAAATTTGGTTAATTTAATGTAAGGACCTCTTAACGAGTACCAAGTACAAGATTTTATTCACTTGGCCTTCGTGTAAAGGAACAACTCCGTATCAGCTAATCTCATGCAAAGGGGGGGATACTGCGATAATGTCTAATTCTTGCTGGATTCAGTCTGATGATGATAATGAAATGTAAAATCAGATTATTCCTTGAATTGAAACTGTAATTGTTTGTCGTTTGTGCCAATGTCGTTAGGAGAGCAAGATCTCCGTACTGTCTTCAGCCTGCGCGGCACCAGCATCACTATCGTAGCAACGCGCACTGCGAGACGTTGTCTCCTTAGCAACGCATCCGCCACGAAAAGAATGTCGGCGAAACATCGCTCTCACCTGAGTATCCCATGACTTGAGACCAGTCTGCTAGTTACCAAAATGACCGAAAAGCAATATTTAGTAACATTACATAACATATATTTCCATTATCAATAACATTAATTTTCTGCACCGTTTCGAAATGAGATTTCAATATTAAATGAGTGCATTTATTCATGTGTTTCACTGTGAGCATTGCCTCCACTATATTACAGTCACAGCGATGTCATACTTGATAAAATTTCTGACAATAAAAACCATACAGGCCTTATAATATGGAGAAGACATATGTTATAGTCGTATAATCTGTCATTATCTATGATTGGTGTTTACATCTGCATAATGCATTACGAGGTAGTGTATTGTCAGCATTACAGCAGACTCGTTTGTATTCAGCAGTTTGATTCTACTTGGTAATCTGATCTTGCTCGTAAACCAATCATTAAGATATTTTGGCCTACATGATCTATCATACCTTATCTCTTGCGTTCTTTTCCTTTTATTGCCTCCCAATCACGGGGTTATGACAGTATAGTATGTCATTGAATTTTTCTCATCGGTATTGGAGTATGCTATTGCGATAATGTGTTTTCAAAAACTCAGGCTGAGAAGCAAACCAGTATTTACAGCGCTGTTGTGCGTGCAGACAGTGGCAACTGATCGGCAAGCCAGATCAACTACATCTTTTAGCGAGTGACAGTTTACAGTAATGTGCACGTGCTACAGCAGGAAAAGCGGTGGATGAGCATTCACAACACAAGCAGAGTCAACGCTGCTACGTAACACTTTCATCTCAGTATCATCAGGAGCTTTTCATAAGATGTGTTGATAACAGATACACGTTAACAGATAAATAATAGCTTATATGTTATGGTAAGCTCCTGATAATCTTATTATTCATTCTACCGCCACTGATTAAAAGTAACTGTAAGTTTACATGACTTATTTGATATTATTGTTACACTAAGTGTGCCTTCAGCAAAGAAAGACAGTGTAAAAGCAAAATGCAGAACACTAGTTGGTATTTTTTTCAAATCTTGCCATATACCTTCAATCTTAAACAAAACACCATATTAATCTTGAAATGTTTTGACAGCAGATCTACTTATCCTGCAGAAATGTAATATATTCGTTCGACCCTGGTTCGTGGTTTTTCCGGAGCCGATGATCATCGTCTACTCCCTCCACGTTGCAGAATGTGCTGTGGAAGGTTCAGATGTCAGCGCCGGTGGCTCAGACATGGGCGCCACCGCCCGCCGGTGCAGGAAGCCAACTACAGGTGCGCTAGCAACCGACACAGGCGTGATTTACATAATGGAGGAATTCCCCCTGCGTGAGTCACGATTATGTAAATTTCTCTCGCCCGTGTGGGCGTTAGGTGTGAGCTAGAATCCTGATCATGACAAAATGATGGTTTCTCTCAAGATCGGTGTCGACAAAAAGAGTTATCGCACATTTCCTCGATACGATGTTTTCACTGTGTCGTGACTGGGCCGAATCTTAATGACGTACCAGAAAATGGAAATTTCCATGTGCTTAACAACAACACGATCGATTTTTGATAGACTTGAGGATTGACAGTCTTGGGATGGCTCGGTTTTCAAATGGGCCATGATTTTGTCGTTAAAAACCATTCCTATCATAATGCCTAACACCTATGCAATTTAGTGTATTAATTTAGCTACTGCTTAGAGTATTATTAGTTATGCTATTTAATTAATACTCCTAATGGCTGAACTCTATTGCCTTCACGCTCTGATGTGGTGTGTGTACGCTCCCTCACAGCTGTGTGAGACGAGTATTTGCGCGGTCGGGGCTCGCCCGTCACGCAGCTATGCCTGACTCTTTCGCGCGAGAGCTGGGAAACGCCGAACGTACTCCTGGCGCCCAGGC